TTCCAGCCTAGGAGCCCCAGCTAAGCCCCGTGCCCAGTTAGCAGCTGCTGCTGTTGACAGGGTATGAGCCCAGGAATACCTATGGCTCCCTGACAGAGTGTGAGGGACACCACTATGAGGCTGGCCAAAAGGGCAGAGATCCATCCAGGTCTACAGCAGTCCCTTTCAAACTGCCAGCGTGTGACATGGTGAGCTCCATTTTGTTCAGGTTAAAGTCAGACCTGTACAGCAAGGGTCTCTTAAACACATGGGTATAGTCTCCCTGCACTTTTAAGATTTTCATCTGCAGTTCATTTTTAATTCATTCATGAATGTAATATCTAGTGACAAGGGTGTCAACAGAAAGGTAAAAGTGTATAAATGTGTAAGATGATAATTTGAACACTTTCCTTTTAAATTCCTTATCCCCTAGGAATTAATGTAATATTTGAAATAAATTCTGAAATGATTCCCTAGATGATTTAACATCCAGAAACTTGCTTGTAGGTTCATAAGTGGCAGAAAGACTGTGGCCCCAAAGGAGTTCATCTCTCTGAATTTAGAATTTAGACCCTACACCAGGAACCCACAAACAGTTGCCCTCTGGTATTCACAGACATAGTATATACACCTTGGACCATTTCCAAACTCAAAGATCCAGACCTGCTAGGGATTTTGAGTTTTGCCAAAGCATTATACCATATTAAGAGGCTAACATAGTACATCATGGTGACTATAGTTAATAATGATATGTTGCATACTTGAAAATTGCTGAGAGAGTAGATTTTGTGTTCTCACTACAAAAAGAAAGGTAAGTAGCTGAGGTAATGCATATGCTAAATAATTTTATTTAACCATTCTACAATGTATACAGATATTAAAACATGCTGTACACCATAAATATGTACAATTTTTACATGTCAACTAAATTTTTACTTTTTATTAAAAAAAGCTAATGTGCGGTGACTGCAGCTAATGAGTAAACATCCAATAGGTCCAGCATTCCCATGTCAAGTGTCCTCTGCCTGTCATCATTTATACAATAATTCTTTTGAAATGCTAGATGGAATGGGATATATCACTCAAGAATACCACAGATGATCACCCTTAAGATATTATAAGATGGGCAGAGAGCACAGACTTCCACTCTTAACTCTTGCCTGGCTGATCACAAACCGTATCCCAGCTCAGGTCCAGGGACCTACTTGCTTCCTTACAAACGAGGAGACCCTGGTTCTAAGACTTTTGCTGAGAGCAGAAATAATCTCCCCTATCCTCCTGCTCCTTAAACAAGAGAAGATTTAGGGCAATTGTCTAAAAGGAAACAGCATACCAGAAACACAATTCCTGGGTTAAAGCAAGCAAAGCTGCTTTCCTAATGACTCCCATTTTCTATGCATACCCTGGGTCCAGCATCCCATCTTCCAGGTGTGGTTAGAAAAGAGATCAGACCTTAGTTAGCGACTGCTGGTGAAGTGAATTGCATGCTGCAGTCCCTCATCAGCATCTTTGTACAGCTCAGTTTCAGGTTTTCTGCAGAATCAGGAGCTGACAATCAAAATGGCCCCTCACTCACACTCATTGGTCAGACTGGGCTTGTGATAACAATTTAGACTAATCACTGACAAGCAGGGATGGGGAGCACTGAAGTCGGCTATTGGCTGTGTCCAGGAGCAGTCAGGCATTCTGCCACTGGATGCTGCTTTTGTAATCTTGTCATATAAAGCACTATGATGTTCTTTTGTTTTCCTTGGATTGGCTTAAGGGCTGGTGAGAAGCAGGAAGTATTCTGCCATGGGAAGTCTAGTGACCTGCAAAAATTTATCAAAATACACAGAAGCAGGAATGGAAGGTAGAAAAATTACAAACTGTGATGATCAGCTCCAAGAGCATGTAGGGGTAAAGGAGGTAATACCTCTCATCACTCATTGTAAGAGTCATGGCTGACACTCCTATAACAAAAGATAAGTTAACAAGAGAAAAGCGAAACAAATTTACTTAATCAAAGTTTTATGTGATATGAGAGCCTTCAGAAATGAAGACCCAAAGATCCAAGGAAAACTGGTTTTGCGCTTAGGTTCCATGAAGAACCTAAGGGCAGCTGTGTAGATATGTGTTTGGACAAGAGTATGATCTTATGGTTATAGACTGGGGGTGAAGGAGGGAGTGTGTTCAAATTCTTCTTGGACTCTCTGTGTAGCATTTCTTCTTTGCAAGTATGGAGCAGGATTCCTCTGGAATAAGGGACTTCAAATGAGAAGGGAGAAGGGAGAGAGTGACCTTCCTAAGTTTTATGGCTTGCTTTGGGGAGAGGGCTTCTAGTTTCTATGATCTGTCTTGCGGAAGAGGAATTCTAATTTCCACGGTTCACTCCAGGGGAGAAAGAAGCATGAAAGACAGGAGGGCAGGAGGAGGTCAAAGAGATCTTTCTTCGGAGGCCCTTCCAATGTCTTTCAGTTCAAAGTACTCAGCACGCCAAGGCGCTATACTTTGGGTATCATGTTCTGAGAGCCAACAGCTACAATGAAGTATGAGAGCAGTCACTGAGGGAGGGAGTTTTCAACTAACTTAGAGGAGCAGGGCCTGACCCTAGCAAGCATTCCTGGGGCTTCCTGATTGCCGTATAGGGCAGTACTTATGTGTGGGACAGTGATATGAGGAGCTACACTCAGGAAACTTCCTGATCTCAATTTTTATTATGATTTGTTTCTGATTTGGGATCTTCCTAACTGAATTAAAGAACTTATATCAATTTCTAGCTTAATTCAGACAGGAGTTAGTCCAAGTATCATTTGACAAATTTTATTAATCTTTTGAAGGTGTCTTGGCCTTGGGTTTAGACCTATTTCAACCTCATCTTCATCACTTAGGATCTCTACAGTGTTGGGAAAAATCACTTAAACTCTGTGACCCTAAGACATTCCTATAGAAAACCTGGGAATAATAAATTATACCTCACAGAAGATTAAATGTGTTTCCTTACAAGCATTATGGTAGACCAGATACACACAGAACAAAAAGCCTGTGTATCACAATGAAAAATGCTATATAATCTGCAAAACATATTTTTTAAATGCATAACTGCATTTAAAAGAGAGTAAGGAATTCCTTGAAGTCCAGAAATGTCAGGAAAGTGAAAATCCACCAGAATAAGCATGTGTGCATTTGTGTTGGTGATCTACATCACTTTCTGGTGGCCTACCTTACATTATGAAGGAGATAGAAGACAAAGTCTGGGGCCTGCACATGGTACATTGTATCATAGAAGTCACATAAAATCAGGACCCATTCAGAGGTTAAACTGGAGAACAAACTCCTTGCAGACCTAAATGATGGCACTACACATGCCTGTTTTTGGCTTTGGCCCTAAGTAAAGCAGGGAGGAAAAAAGTCATTGATAATTTCTAATCTTAAGCAGAGAAGCATGATTGTTTCAGTCTGAAATTCTCACTATGTGGCAAAAAAAAAAAAAAAAAAAAAAACCTCAGGTAGAAAATTTCATTTTAAACAATCTGGCTTGGTAATGCTCCCATGCACCTAACAAAAGCAAATAAAAACACCCCTCAAAAGGAAATATTTCTTACATAGCTCCCAAAGAATTTTCAAGTTTGATAAAGTTCCAAGGAATATTAGGTCATAATACAAAATCAAAGAATACACACAAATAAATAAGCCACAATGTGCAAAAGTTACCAGATAGTAAACTATAAGCCAGAGCAACAAAACTGCAGATATTGCAATTGAATATAGAATATAAAAGAATGTATTTAGTACATTTTGGGAGGCCGAGGCAGGTGTATCACTGAGGTCAGGAGTTAGATACCAGCCTGGCCAGATGGTAGAATCCAGTTTCTACTAAAAATACAAAAATTAGCCAGGCGTGGTGGCATGCATCTGTAATCCCAGTCACTTGGGAAGCTAAGGCAGAAGAATGTCTTAAATCTAGGAGATGGAGGTTGCAGCGAACTGAGATCACACCACTGCACTCCAGCCTGGGCAACAGAGTAACTCTATCTCAAAAAAAAAAAAAAAAAAAAAAAAAAAAAAAAAAAAAAAAAAAAAGAATGTATTAATGTATTTAGTAAATTTCAAGATATTGAAAGAAAAAATTAAGTTTTAACAAAGGAACAGGCCAGGCGTGGTGGCTCACGCCTGTAATCCCAGCACTTTGGGAAGCCGAGGTGAGCAGATTGCCCGAGGTCAGGAGTTCAAGGCCAGCCTGGCCAACATGGTGAAAACCCATCTCCACTAAAAATACAAAATTATCCAGGTGTGGTGATGGGTGCTTGTAATCCCAGCTACTTGAGAGGCTGAGGCAGGAGAGTCTCTTGAACACAGAAGACAAAAGTTGCAGTGAGCTGAGATCGTGCCACTGCACTCCAGCCTGGGTGACAGGTCGAGACTCTGTCTCAAAAAAATAAATAAATAAATAAAGGAGCAATAGTGTATTAAATTTGATTAGGCATGTTTGCAGAAGAACCAAACAAAACTTGGAAATAAAAAAACTAACATAATAGAAATTAAAAACTCAAAGGATTTGTTGAAAAGTAGTTTATACATAGCTGAAAAGCATTTATTAATTTAGAAGACAGATTTGAAGAAACTACTCAGAATGCAGCATAGAAAAACAATGAGATGGAAAATCGACAGAGATATTCAGGGATGTGGACAACAAAGTGAGGAAGTTAAAATACACACGATCTGAGTTGCAGAAGGACAAATAAAAGAGAATGGAGCAAAGGCAATAGTTGAAGAGACGATGACCGAAATTTTTGGAATTAATGAAAAATGCTAATCCTCAAATACATGAATTCCAAAAAGATCACCCAAGCAGATGTCATCTAAAAACATAGTGGTACCGTTTAAGTGCCTTTGAGGCAGAAAGATTTTTAAAACCACAAAAAAACAAAAGAAATATCTCTGAAGGAATTGGTATTAGGTTAAGCTTGGACTTCTCAATAGCAACCAAAACACAGTGGACAGTTTCAAAAGGCCAAGAGAAAATAATTGTCAGCCTAGAATTTGACTTTTTAATGCCTTTTTATTTGAAATGATTTTAGACTTAAAGTTGTAAAAATGGTGCCCAGAGTTCCCATATACCCTTTATGCAGCTTCCCATCATGTTAACACCTTACATAACCATAGAATAATCTTTTAGACAGGAAATTAACATTGACAATATATAATCAATTAATCTACAAGTCCTGTTCAAATTTTACCAATTGTACCACTAATATTTTTCTTCTAGTTCAACATCCAACCTGGGATCTTCCCCAAAATGACCTTTGTTCACAATGTCATAATTCACCTTGCAACACAAGCTCTGCTCAACCAGAGTTTGATGAATAAAATGATTTTCTCTTTGCCAGTGTCCCCTTATATGAATATCTCATAAAGCATAAAGGTTGGGGTGGTTCCTGTTAGAATATTCTCTTCCCTTGATTCCCTGACAAATATCATTACACAACCCTCCTGAGCTCCCTCACGATTATAAAGGGAAAGACATTGACTCCAGTCTGATGTAATAAACAGAAGAGTTTTTGATGACCTTGTACCTCTTTTCTTCTGATTTCTGTGGAACATACTGGCAACAAAATCCTGAACCAAGATCCACCAGGGGATGGACAGTTGTCCTAGGTATGCCCAAGAATTATGCAACATCCCCAGCCACGTGCAGGATGGTTGAGGAATCTGGGGGCAGCTATTGTGTGGAAGGAAAGTCTTACTAAGGGAAATCCTCATAGGAAATTGCGTAGGTTGGAGAAAGAGTCACACTCAGTCAACCTTAGCCTGTCTTTTCTCTCCTTTGGTCTAATCAGAGGTAGCTGTTATCTTCTAATAGACTGCTGCTTTGTCTTTTTTCTAATGAGAATTCTTGGAAGTTGACATCAGGGTCTCCAAGACTACCCCTAGATTTGATGACCAGAAAGATGAGCAGGATTCAACATATGGTCATACTCACAGCTAAGACTTGTTGTAACAAAAGTATACAGAGCAAAATTAGCACAGACAAAAAGTGTATGGGGCCAAGTCCAAAGAAAATCAGGTATAGGTTTCCAAGAGTGCTGGTAGAGTCATCAGGTTGTGCTTAATTCCTCCAGCATCAAACTGTGACAACACATGTGAAGCCAGTTAGACTGTGTGCCCAAGGGTTTTACTGGGGACTGATCATGTACACACCCTCTGCCTAGCATGTACCAAAATTCCAGGCTTCGAGAAGGGAAGCAAGTGTTAGCATAAACTCCATCATTTGCATAAACAGTCTTAGCATAGTAAGCCAACCATATCAGCTATAGAATAGCTAGAAAACTCCAAAAATCCAAGTTCCCTGATGTTAGCCAAGGGCCAGCCTTTCAAGCAAGTCTTTCTAAAGATAACAGTCTCAAACTTGCCCTGCTAACTCTGCATGGTCCATCCCCTTAGTCCTTAGCAAGGCAAAATATAGTAAAAGTATTATTTGTAGGATCTCTGTCAGGATTGATCCCAGTTTTTTCCAATACACTCAGTATTTACCCTCTTTTAAGGATCCTGAATTTAGCCAGCTTCAACAAATCTGCTTAATTATAAAGGTCTATCTTAGAAGTCCAGGTAGCTTCCTCTGTACATGTCTATATTAAACTTTTTACCTGGTGGCACATCACAACTCAGGCCAGGAAAGTAAAGTGGACCTGAACATCTTCCTGGGCTGAGACAGTGTCATGATAATCAGGTACACACAGACACAAAGCACAATCCCAGAGGACATGCATGGCAGCCCAAGCAGGACATGCCTTAGGCAGTACAGGTTAACAACCCCCACCAAGCAGCCTTCCATGCCGTGGCCTTCCACGGTGGGGCCTAGCACCATAAGGTTTCCATTCCAGTCCAAAAAATTCACTGAAGTCCTTGGTTTCAGAGGAACTGCCTTCAAGCTATCAGTTCCCAACACAGGAGTGAGGATGACACCTGAGGTTTTCTGGATGGGAAGTTCCGGAGTGGATCCCCACCTCCACCCCCAGTGTTGTCTGGTGTGCTCAGAGACTCAGCAGTCTGAATTCAAAGCATTAAGTAGGAGTTTGGAAAGACAGCGTGGGAAGATTTCTGTCAGACAGAAGGGAAAGCTTCCAGGAATAGTTCTGAAAAACAAAAAGATTGTTAATGACTTCCTCTCCTTTATGCCTCCCTGGGGGTCTGAGTTTCTATTTTTTTCATTGCTATGAAAAAGTCAGAGGTCCTATTCAGCAATCATATCATATTTTTAAAAATTATAACTCATTCTCATGCAGATTTTTCAACTGGAAAAAGTGTATACAAAAAGGACAAAAGGACTTTCACCAAAAAACATTTGCATGCAATTTAAGCATAAAGAGATATCATGCTCATATTGTCTGTTACTGAACCAAACTGGGGTCCACTTGCCCAGCCCAGCAAAGCTAAACACCCACACTGGGGTTTTGCAACAAGAGAAAGGAGGGCATTTGTTTGCAGGTTCCCACACAAGGAGAATCATGCAACTCACACTGAAGACCCTATTTTTAGTTTCTATAGAGAACCAAACATCACCTGACTCTAACTTCCTTGGCTATTGTTTTAAGCTATTATTACCTTCTTGTTTATCAGCTTGCAAACTTACTTCTTAGGGCCAGCTAGTGCCTGGAATTTCCCTTGAAGGAACTTCAGATGTTCCTTTATTTCCATGCTTGCGTGGGGGTCCTGGCAGGCCACTAAGAAGGAGTCCCTGCTCCGTCTTATGTCCAGAATGAAATCCTGAATTTTCAAAAACTTAAAAAATTGGCTAGCATAAACTCCCACCTCTTTCATCCAAATTATACAGTGAGCCTAGAAATTAATAATCCTTTTCTGGGGTCAATTGCATTTAATAATCAAACTTCTGAAGGTCAGGAAATGCCATCCCAAAATATACCGCTTTGGACTTAAAACTGAAGGTGCTTGAGAAACAGCAAATGCAAGACAGGACTTTCTCTGAGCTCCCTTTATCTGCATAAAGATAGACCCTCCAAAAGGAACTCAGATGTCATGAATCCCTTCCCAGGGAATCTTATCAACCAGGGAAGATTAAATTGGGATCACTGGAGAGGATACTGGAGGCTGACCCCGTGTCCAGACAGACTTTGTCACAGGCTGTCACATATTCTTCTGAGGGCTCATTCATTTTTCACCAAAACAATTTACTCCCGCTAAGTTGCCTACATCTCCCCTCCCCTCTCCTTTAAGAAGAAGGTACATAGCTTCTAGATCTCCCTGGGTTTGGGGCGTTAACTTTCCTTTCGTATCATGCCCCATGCACATAATGAGTTTGTATACCTTTTGTCCTGTTAATCTGCCAGTTTTCAGTTTATTTCATAGATTCAATTATCAAGCCCTCAAAAGGTATAGGGGAAAATGTGTCCTTCCCCTACCTTACTAAGGTGTGTGTGTGTTAAAACAAAGGTGAAAGATGCAGATTCAGGCTGTCAGTGTATTTTCACAGATTGAAACTAATTGGGAAAGTTGAAAACAGCAAGTCAACAGCAATGAGATAGTCTCAAGATGGGAAGAGTCCAATCTGTCAGGAGTGGGTGGAGGGGTCACACTCCCTGTGATGTGTCCTCCTCCAACTTACAGCTTTCAACGGGGATTATAAATCAGAAATGCAGTTAGCCTCTGTATCATGAAGGGGCTCGGACTATGCCACCCCAAAACATGCCATTTTGACATAAGAATTATTTTGAGCTAAAGGGAATTGAATGTTCCCTTTAGACAGGATGAGCTGTCTGCCCTACTTCTATCTGCCTGAAAGCAGAACATAAATGTCTCTTGCGATGGTATCCCCAACCCCTACTTCCATTCAAGAAAGGGGATAACAACCTTATCACTGGACAAAGTCTACACAAACAAATCTTAATAACTAGCCCTCATCTACCATTAGTTCCCCCAAATATTTGTCTTTGCGCAATTTGACACCCTCAGACTCAAAGCTCCTTCTTTTTTATCTGGCCACTTCTCTAAAAATGTATGTTAAGATGCTCAATAAGCCCCAATTTCTAGCCACTTCTTCCACTTGCTCATTGAGTTCTCCAGTGTGTATGCACTATGTATGTGTTAATAAACATCTGCCTGTTTTTCTCTTGTTAATCTGTCTCATGTCAGTCTAATTTGCAGTGTTGTGGAATCTTTAAGGAATTAGAAAGAACGATGGGGTTCAGGAGGATATGATATTTATTAATTATTTAGGTGCACCAGCCCAGTCGGATTAATATCTAAAGGACTGAGCCCCGAACAAAGAGTGAAGTTACCTTTTAAGCATTTCTTGGGTGGGGGGGAGATCTGTGCAGGGGGAAGCATACTACAGAAGAGAGAAACAAAGGCAGTTATTCAATTGAGACATGCATTATATCATTTCTTACTTTTTAAGGAAAAGCATGTTTTGCGACTTGAGTTTATCTGTCTAGTGACCTTGCTGCTGCACAGCTAAGGAAACAGGGTCTTCACAATGCCTGGGAAGGGAGGAGAGATAAGGCTCACTAGCCACAGAAAAACAGGCAGTTAATTTTTTAAAGGACTCCAGTTCTTTCTGTTTCTCAGGGGGATTTTCTTACACACAACGGAGTTGTTGCTTACACACTCTTTAATTTCTTTTAATTCCTGTTTCAATAGGGCCCCAACCTACGAATGTAAGATAGGAAGAGGAAATCATGTTTGCTGAGCCAGGCACAGTGGCTCACGCCTGTAATCCCAGAACTTTGGGAGGCTGAGGTGGGCGGATCACTTGAGCCCAGGAGTTTGAGACCAGCCTGGGCACCATGACAAAACCATGTCTCTATAAAAAATACAAAAATTAGCGAGGTGTAGTGGCACATGCCTGTAGTCCCAGCTACTCAGGAGGCTGAGGTAGGAAGATGGCTTGAGCTCAGGAAGTCGAGGCTACAGTCAGCTGTGATCGTGCCACTGCACTCCAGCCTGGGGAACAGAGCAGAAATCCTGTCTCAATAAAAATCTTTAATGCACAGAATGTGTTTTCCTCTTCTACAATCACAAATATGCAATCAGCAACTGGATTTCAGATGGCCTAATCAGAGAGAAATCCAAATAGTCCAGAAAAATCCAAAAAGTATCCATGATGATTTGATAAATTAGGGCTCCACAGAGCAGTGATTTGCAAGGATCCCAGAATCGGAGTTCTGTCCACTGAGCCTATGTCTGCTTTCGGTTCAGCACAGCACAAACTAAGGCTGAAACGACCTAACAGCAGGCAGCCACAGGTTTCAGCTTAAAGTCAGAACAGGCAATTAGAATATGTGAATTCTGGATTTCAAAGGAGCCAGCTGCTTTTCTTCCTACAGCAACAAAACCGAGATACTTTAGGGTCAGAGAGCCACAGTCCAAGTCCAAGGGACAAGAAATGCTTTCCCAGGCCCTTTTTATTTTGTCAGGCTTAGAGTTTTAATTGACCTACTCAAAAAATATGCACATCAGCCTGGAAAATCATCAGCCTTAAAGAGTCCGACATCTGACATCACAAGGTCTCTCTAGCAACTAAAAGTTAATTTTTCAAACTCAGTGTGTCTCCATCTGGAGACAACCTCTGAGAAATAAAAATAAAATCCTAAGCCCCATGAGGGCTTAGGATTTTTCCATATCCCCTCTTGGCCACGGGGATCCCAGTGAAACCTTAAGAACTGAGTGCCCGATCATGATAGGATGAAAAGTCAGACACATCCCTTCCTTATTAATCTTTAATCAGAATTCTTTCCTAAGGAGTAAGCAGAAAGCTTCTTTGGAAAACAAGAAACAGAGGACACATTCCTTTATTGCCTTTAGCCAATCATGTGAGGCCACCGCTCAACTCCCCCTCCCTCTTTGCAGTTTCAACGTGACAGCTGGCCAGTTTCACAACGCAACCCTTTCTAAAAACTGATCTCTATTCCCAGACCAGTTTTGGCCCAATCACAGAGGAAGGGCAGTGTGGGTTTTCATGTCCTGTACTTCACCTTTTGATAAGAGAAGGCCAAAAACTCCACCCATGGATCACACTAACACCACCGTCTTTTGTACATACGATTCATGAAAAGGCACAAGGCTAAATTGCACATGGCTCAATTGCACATGTGCATATTTTCCCTTTCATGAATATTCATGACTCCTCCTATAGTTTATCAAATATGTATATTTGGACACCTCATTCAGCAAAAATTTTTGTCTTAGTGTTCCCTCCCACAAAGTGCCTGTGGCTTCTGGTTGGAGGCTATGCTTTCCAGCTTATCAGAATGGCTAGCTTTGTAACTGCCTGAGGGTTTTTTCCCGCCCACTGCACAAAGACCATAGCATTGTGGTAGAGAAAATTTTAATAGACACGTGAAAGGAAAATAAATCTTGGGACCCCTAAACCACTAAGCCAAAGGGAAAAGTCAAGCTGGGAACTGCATCAGGCAAACCTGCTCCCATTTTATTCCTAAATAACATAGCTACAAAGATTTAAAAAAAAAAAAAGAAAAAGCTACATACCTCCTTCACAATTTGCCCACAAGGAAATTCCTTGTGGGCCTCAAGATCTTTACCCTAAAAACAGTTCTGTTGAATTTTACCCTAGCAACATAAACTGATAGCTTGTCTTTACCAGCATGGGACAGAAAGTCATAACTCTGCTTGCCTGAGACAAATGCCTATCTGGTTGCTTCCTCTGCCCTATGGTTCACGTAAAACTGCAGATTCACTGAGACAGACTAAGGCATAAATTGTTAGAGTAGGTAGTTAGTCAGACATGAACAGGGCAGGAGAGGAGACCCCTCTCCTACCAGGCGACCATCAGGTGATGGTCAGGCAGTTGTTAAACTGTCCCCAAAATGATCATTGGTTGAAGCCAATGCCAGGCAAGGGCCATCTCCCAGTAGAAATACCTGAAATTGGTAATCAGCAATTTCCAAGTAAGATCTCAGGAGTTGGGCAAGTGGGCTCAAGCATGTGCACTAAGAGGCAAAATGGCAGAGTTGAACTGGTATATGAACTTCCTCTAGGAACACTCAACTGGTAGGGAAACAATGCCTCAAGTGAGCATGTGCACAATTTCAGTAAAGACGCTGAGCATGCAGCCCCTCCCAAGTGCTGGCAGACCGCTGCACACATGGACTGCCCAACCCAAGGGAAGAAACAGGAGAGAAATAACAAAAGACCCCAGAAGCATGCCAACTTGCAAACCCCAAGTCAAAGGTTAAACCATGCACTTGAATCTCTTCAGTTACCCTCTTCGCCCTCTTTCAAGGCCAAAAATATAAAGTACATTGAGAGGCCAAGGTGGGCAGATCACGAGGTCAAGAGATCAAGACCATTCTGGCTAACACGGTGAAACCCTGTCTTTACTAAAAATACAAAAAAATTAGCTGGGTGTGGCGGCATGCACCTGTAGTCCCAGCTGCTGCGGAGGCTGAGGCACGAGAATGGTGTGAACCAGGGAGGCAGAGCCTTCAGTGAGCTGAGATTGTGCCACAGCACTCCAGCCTAGGTGACAGAGCAAGACTCGGTCTCAAAAAAAAAAAAAAAAAGAATATAAAGTACATTTAAGTACTTCACTTCCCCTTGTTCCTGCTCTAAAACTTTTTAATAAACTTTCTCTCCTGCTCTGAAACTTGCCTCAATCTCTCTATTTGCCTTTTCCCCTCAGTTGAATTCTTTCTTCTAAGGAGGCAAAAATTAAGGTTGCTGCAAACCTGTATGGATTTGCTGCTGCTAACCAAATGACTATTCCTCTACCCCACCACCATATATAAATTATGTATTCAGTGAACGGCTGATCAAAGACCCAAAAGAATGCAACCTTTTGTCTCTTATCCACCTATGACCTGGAAGCTCCCACTTTGAGTTGTGCCACCTTTCTGAACCAAACCAATGTACATCTTACATGCATTGATTGATGTCTCATGTCTTCCTAAAATGTATAAAACCAAGCTGTGCCCTGATTACCTTGGGCACGTGTCCTCAGGATCTCCTAAGGGCAATGACATGGGCCATTGGTCACTCATATTTGGCTCAGAATAAATCTTTTCAAATATTTTAGAGTTTGACTCTCTTCATTGACAGGCACAAAACTAGTCATGCCATGTAGGAGATGGAGTTCGTATTCAAGTCATTCTCCTTCAAAGCTCATAAGTTAGAAGTTTTGTTTTTGTTTTTTCTGAGATAGAGTCTCACTCTGTCGCCCAAGCTGGAGTGCAATGGTGCAATCTCGGCTCACTGCAACCTCTGCCTCTTGGGTTCAATCGATTCTACTGCCTTAGCTTCCCAAGTGGCTGGGATTACAGGCGCCCACCACCATGCCCAGCTAAGTTTTGTATTTTTAGTAGAGGTGGAGTTTCACCATCTTGGCCAGGTTGGTCTTGAACTCCTGACCTCATGATCCACCCGCCTTGGACTCCCAAAGTGCTGGATTACAGGTGTGCACCACCGTGCCCAGCATAAGTTAGAAGTTTTTCAAAGCATGGAGGTGGCTAGGCTTGCTGCTGACTGGTTGGGCAAGACAAAATCATAGATTGTTGAAGCTGTCCTACTGCATGCTGAATTGCTTCTGGGTGGGGCCACAGGAGGAGGATTGGTAGGTTCAGGTGGGTCCAGGTGGAGCCATGGGTGTCAGACATGCATAAAATCCGAAAAGATGTGTCAAAAGGCCAATCTTAGGGTCCTACAATAGTGGTGTTATTTGCAGTAGTAATTGGGGAAGTTGTGTGTTGTTTAACCTCAGGAATAATGGCTGTCAATCATTTATGTCTGCCCCCTAGTAGGATTCAAGTTTCGCTCCTCCACGCAGCCTGAGGGACTCTCCTTAGCTTTACAAAAGTGGTTGAGTTTGGGGGACAGCCTATTACCATTTAAACCTATGTCTTCTGAAGTTAGCTCAACCCAATAATCCAGAAATAATTATGGGAAAGGTAAGATGGGGGTTGGTGAGTTAGCTCAGATCTCATTCCTTGTCATAATTTTCTCACTGATACAATTTTTGCAAAGATGGTTTCAGCCTGAAGGCTGCAATCGCCTTATGAGAAATAAAGCTCTCCTTTCAAAATTAATGAACTTTGTTATTCTTCAGTTGAAATTATAAAGGATACAACTATTAGAGATATTTGAACCAGAGAAACTCCATCTTGAATAGGGGCTGGGTGAAAAAAGGCTGAGACCTACTGGGCTGCACTCCCAAGAGCTTAGGCATTCTAGTCCCAGCTGATGAAACAGGATGCAGTAAAGAAGCCAGCCAAAACCAAGATGGCAATGAAAGTGACCTCTGGTCATCCTCACTGCTCGTTATATGCTAATTATAATGCTAAATTTAGCATTATAATTTAGCATTAGCATGCTAAAATACACTCCCATCAGCACCATGGCAGTTTATAAATGCCATGGCAGCATTCAGAAGTTACCCTATATGGTCTAAAAGTGGGAGGAATCCTCGGTTCCGGGAATTGCCTGCCCTTTTCCCAGAACATTCATGAATAATCCATCCCTTGTTTAGCATGTAATCAAGAAATAACTTTAAATGTACACAGTTGAACAGC